AAACTTTGCAATTGAATGTTCTCGAGCGAGGCAGAGAAAAAGAAATCAGAAGTCAACCCTCTAAAGCCATCTTTGTCCATAAAAATTAGTTGCAAAGCTAGTGTACGAGGTAGTGTACAAAAGGATGGGAGATATAAACTAACCACAGTTAACCTTGAGCATAATCATGATTTGATTCCCACCGACTCACGTCATTTTGCAATGAATAAGAAAATTCTTACTCCTGTGAAGAGAAGATTAGAAATTAATGATCAAGCAGGGATTGCAAAATGACGTGAGTCGGTGGGAATCAAATCATGATTATGCTCAAGGTTAACTGTGGTTAGTTTATATCTCCCATCCTTTTGTACACTACCTCGTACCCTTGCTGTGCAACCAATCTTTGTGGACAAACATGGTTTCAGAGGGTTGACTTCTGATTTCTTTTTCTCTGCCTCGCTCGAGAACATTCAATTGCAAAGTTTAGCAATTGCCCATCATCTCCAAAATGTTGTGCTCTATGAGCTATAGAAAATCCAACATGCTTAGCATATTTGCCATAAAATGTGTAGACCTCTTCCCTTGAGCTAAAACACATACCCTTTTTAGGTTCTTCAACATCTTCGCCCTCATGTATTAAAGGATTCTCACCAACATTTGAATTAACCTCCATTCTTCCACTTTGTGTACTGAAATAACAATTAAACAAATACAGCTATTAGAACAATTAACTTGCAGCACAGAGAAAATAAACTTGATTGAAGCGAATGAACTATAAAAGAGGCAATAATTGTATATAAGGCTTCAAAACTAATGGTGCACCAAAATGAGAAACATCCCCACTGCCATTACAGAATGATCTAAAGCACCTAACAATTTGAATTTCAGAGGACTCACCACCAATTAACAGGCGAAGAGGATCCAATAATTCAATCTGTGAAATAGTATTAGTACCTACAGAGTCTATAAGTAAGTCCTCAACATTTTTCGGATAAATTTACTTGTGAACTGCGAAAAGCTCATTACAACATCTGAATTGCCTGACACAATTAAGATGTTTTAATCACATAACAGACTCTAATCCAGATCATCAATGAAGTTATACTACAAAGGCAATAGTAAAACCAAAACCCAATGGATTTGGATATGACATAATACCTTAGGTTCCATTCCATTTGCTTAAACTAGCACATTTGCTGTCATATCTCAACATATACTTTGGTAGAAAATTTATAATGCCTCTACAGTGAGCTAAACAAAAAGAAAAAGATGTCTCTTTACACCCAACACTTGTTTTCCCCTGTTTGTTTCAACTGAAAGTAGTTCCTGAAAATTGTGAACAGCAGCAATTAATTATCTCCATTCAGTTTACTACCTATAGGGGCACAGAACTATAAATTTTCCTTTAATGAGAAAATGGGTGAAAACTTTGTTTGATGAGAGGTACGAAGATTGAGGGGAACCTTAAACCCATTTTCTGAGGAGGAACCTTAAACCCATTTTCTAAGAGGAACCGTAAATTTATAGTTATGTGCCCCTGTAGGTTCCTCTCAATCTTTGTTTGATGAGAGGAACTTTAAACCCATTTAGGAACCTTAAACCCATTCAGTTTGAAACTCAGTTTGATGAGAGGTACGAAGATTGAGGATAGATGAGAGCGAGCTATGGAGATATTACCAGATTGATGAGAGCGACGAAGATTGCAGAAATTTCGGCGAGCTATGGCCGTCGTCGATGGAGGAGGAGGATGGCGGTGAGAGGTGAGGATAGACAAGGGAAGACGAGGATGGCGGTGAGAGGTGAGGATAGACGAGTTCCCGCTTTTTTCTCTTTTTTTTTTTTTTTTTTTTTTTTTCCAGCTGTGTTTACACATCAGCTGCCACCTCATCACCACGTCACTGGGGGTGGCCACGTCACTGGGGTTGCCACGTCACTGGGTGTATGTAGCGGGATTGTAACTAAAATTCCGTGCATAACAAATTTCGAAAGCAACACCATTCGTGAGCCTTTACGGCTTCAACATCATCACTTAATTTCTCTTTTGTGTTATGTTTCAATTTTTAACTTGACTGTTCCATGGAAATTATTCCTCAAAATTCATATGCTTAGGCAAACAAACCACAACAAAAGTAATTTATGGTGATGAAAATTAGTGAAGAAAATAAATTTCATCACTAAATAAGAATAATCTGTGAGGAAATTATAAATTGTCACATATAATAAAAAAGTAAAAATAATAGGTGAGGAAATTTAATTTTGTCAATAAATACTTCCTTTTAAGTTTCGTCACCGAAGATTTTCCCGCTAAATTTTTTGGGTGACGCCAAAATTTTAAGACTTTTGGTGAGGAAAAAAATTGTCACCAATTATAAAATTATTAGTGAGGAATATATTTTTGTCACCAATGATTTAAATATTTTGAGATCATTTGGTGAGGAATATATTTTCGTGGGTAATAATTTTTAATATTTGAGACTTTTTTGCTGAGGAAATTATTGTCACAAATTTTGGAGGAAGAATTTTGAGATATTGAGTGGGTAATGAAAAAAAAAAAAGGCTTCGGTCTCGTTTGGAAACAGATTATTTTAATAATTTTTTGATTTTTTATAAAAAAATGTATAAAAAAAATAAAAAAAATGATGTGACTACTTACAATGACTTTTTGGCTTTTAACTAAAATATAAGGTTGCCAAATGTGGCCTAAATTCCCCCTCCCTCTTTTGTGTTTATCAATTTTCCTCCTTTCTCTCTCTTCTCTCTCTTTCTCACTCTCTCTAAACACATGTTAGCTCTCCCTCGTTACTCCCCCTTCAGCGCCCCTTATCCTCCTTCAGCGTCGCCGTCGGCATCACCTTTTCTCCTCCTTCAGCATTGCCGTCGATGTCACATCTCCGATCAAGCGTCAGCGCCGCTAGCTTTGCTTCGAGTATTCGATCAGCCTCCATTATTTTGTATAGAGTTCTCTCTCTCTCTCTCTCTCTCTCAATCTTTGTATTTGTTTTCCATTACTCCTCTTTCGCACTTACCAGCACCTCCATTACCATTTTCTTGGCACCAGCAATTTGCCTGTCTCCCAAAACCCAATTGCAGGTGTGGGTCCTCTCTCTCTCTCTCTCACACACACACACACACACACACACACACACACACACTCAATTTCTCTATTTTTCTATCTTTGTTTTTCTTAATTTTCAAAACTAATTTTGTTGTTTTCCTTAATTTCCAAAACCCTAACAATCTTAAATTAATAGTTTTAGATGTAATTATGACATTATTTGTAGTTGAGCATTACACAGGGGATATGCATTTTGACTATGTTTGCAGAGTACTTTTTGTTGCATCCAGAATAGTTTTGGTGAATTATATGACTAGGTGTTATAACTTCAAGCTCTTCAATTTGTAAACAGATGAAATTTGTTAGGGATGTTTTGGATTTTCTTTTTCTTCTTCTATGACATCCAAAAATTGGGGGAAAGAAATTGGGAATCAATAAAAACATGTCAATAAATTTGTTTATTTAGAAAACTAGTAGCAATTTTACTTTGATTATTTTAATTATAGCAACTACAAAAAAGGAAAAAAGAAAAAAGAAAAGGAAATGGTTATTAGAATTTTGTGAGTTTCTTTCACAATTTTTTGGATATACATCTTGTCATAGTAACCTCAATATTTTCTTCAATTATAATTGGTTTTCCAAGCTATTTTTGTAATTGTACTCAAACATTAAGGAACTAGAGGCAATCTCAAACTCATAATAAAACGTTTTTAAAGGCTGAAAACCTTTTGCATTCTACCAAACATCATGGGAAACAATTGGACTGTTGGCTGATTTTTAACTGAAAGTTGATCATCAAAAGTTAATTCCGTGTCAAGTGCAACTTGTGTTATACGTCATTAAGGAACTAGAGGCAACATGTGCTATTTTTGTAATTGTACTCAAACATTAAGGAACTAGAGGCAATCTCAAACTCATAATAAAATGTTTTTAAAGGCTAAAAACCTTTTGCATTCTACCAAACATCATGGGAAACAATTGGACTGTTGGCTGATTTTTAACCGAAAGTTGATCATCAAAAGTTAATTCCGCATCAAGTGCAACTTGTGTTATACGTCCGCTTCAACTTCCCCTAGTGTAGCCATGTCTATAGGAGTAAAGATGTGGGATATATGTTTGACACCTATATTCAATTTAGATATTTAGATATTCTAATTTTAACTGATTTTTGAAGAAGAATAATATTGAACAACATCCCAATGGGCTAATAAGAAGGATGCCGAATTTGCCTTCCTCAGAATTTTGATATTTTTGGATAGATTGCACAACTCTAGTATTTAGAGTAGATGGTATTGCAATTAGGCTGCTTTTCATGGTCTTCAGCAGTCACTGGAAGGAAATAGTCATATTGTATAAAACAATTGATAAAATTGCAGCTATTGGAATCTAATTTAGTTAAATGGTGGCTGTAGGACATTGAATGGATTAATATAGTATTTTGTTAAGGGGAATTTTATTTCTTAGCTCATTCCTAGTTGCATGAAATAGGGCGGGGAGCAAGGATGCCAGGGCACATAGAAAAGTTTAAAACTGGGAGTGCTTAGATGAGCATTTTTGTGTGTATATATATATATATATGTATATGTATATGTATATGTATAAATATAAGGAATTATTATTCGTACTTTTTATTACTATTATTATAAACAGCCCATATTGCATTTAAAAAAAATAGACAAAAAGTGGAGTGTAGGCAACAAGAAGTGGAGTGTGAACGACAATTCCCTAAATATATAAATATATTATAAGAAATACTTTTGTTGCTTCATTGTAATGTATGTTGCATGGACTCCGATACGAGTATTGGGTGTGGGTGTGGGTGTCGGTGCATGTCCAAGTGTCCAATCTTCGTAAACCTAAATCTTAGGATATTGAGATATGTATCCAAAAGTTGGATATGAGTACAGGGACACACCATGGGCACTTGTATCATAATGTATAATATTCTTCGATAAGATATTGTAAATCATCTAGAGATATAATTGAAATATAATTGATGTGGAACTAGAATATGTTACAATTAGATTAATAGTGTTTTTTTTCATTATATTTTGTATTTTATTGTAATATTGGAACTAGAATATGTTACAAGTAGTTTCAATATCAACGGTTGAATTTAGTGCCAAGTTATCACTTGGTGAGCTTAATATTATAATGTTTTATTAGATTTACTAAAATGAGATGGAATAGGATAAAATGATTTATTTGCTATATATTTTTCATTATTTTTTAGTCAATCAAATCTGAAAGTAAATAATTTGATAGAATGATTATTCTATTTCACTCTATTCCGGTGTTGTTGGATTAGTGGCATCTAGCTTAAGTGCAGGCTTAAAAAAAATATTATTTGTGAAAAGTGTTCAGAAATTGATATGTGTAATGTGTGAATGGGATTCATTTTTAATTCTCACGTCATCAAGTTTAAATTTATGTTATAAATTCAAAATCTTAATGCATTTTTAATTATTATTTATTTATTCGTTGAATACATAATATTTGTGCTAAAATGCATTATTGATCTAACAACTTTGATCAAAGCTTGAAAATTGAACCCATTGTAATCTTTTTTTTTTTCTGGCTTCGCCATTGTTCATGTTGCCTGTGTCATAAACTCCTCTTTTGACAATTATTTGATTGGCATAACAACCTACTCATTGCAATGATTGATCGCAATTTGTCCATCAGACCTTTTTCTTTGACCTATTAACATTTAGAATGCCCATTTATCCAATGAAAATCATGCTGCATCTGTAACTTTAATTGGCATATTGCTTCTTTTGGAATGCGAATGGCAGTGTGACACATTTAAATTCTTAATTTTTGCTCATTTGTTGAGTTTGTACATATATTTATATATGTACTTAAACATGTGAAGGTATATATAGCAGCTTGTTTGATGGGTTCTACTCAGCCCAATCGTGTTAATGAGAAGGGAAAAGACATTAGGGTTGAGGTAGATGACGATGACTACATACCGTTAGATCATGAAGATGATACTGATGATGAGTCCTTTGAAATTGTTGACGATGCAGTACTATATGTATAATATCTAATTTTTGTTATTATGTCTTATAACTATATATTCATTAATGATGCTTTATTAAATACTATCTTTATATATCTATATACATATCTTTACATATCCATTGTTATGTATTCTATGTTTATGCTTTTGTATTATGTTTTTCAAGGCTTACCAATGCCACGAAAACGATTACCACAGTCATCTCTTCAACCTTCGCACTAGTGTTATTAAAGGCGATAGGCGCACCAAGGCGTTAGGTCTCGTAGGCCCTAGGCTCAAGGCGCAAGGTGAGGCGCAGGCTTCAGTGAAGTGAGACGCACCTTGTATGGAAAAAAAAATATAATTTAATATAAGTAAATAATTTAGGGTTCAACATAAACAAAACAAAATGTTAAACATTTAGTATTTTTTGGAGATTAGGAATTAGGGCTAATTTTTCTTTTATCATTGATTTGGGGTTGGATGCCCAATGTATTGGCATCTGCAATAAGAGTATGGATCTTCTGTAACTATACCATATTAAATCAATGGTCAGATTTTAAACAAAACCAATTAAAGTAACAATAAAAAAAGCCCTCAAGATGCAAGGCTTGGACCAGTCAGGTGCTATCGAAGTCGCCTAGCCTGGAACACTACAATGTGCAAACGTTGGGCTAGGACGGGACTTGGACCTAGGCGCACGCCTAGGTACGCCTTATCGAAGTCTCCTAGACTAGAACACTACAAGGCGCAAACCTTAGACCTGGATGAGACTTGGGCCTAGGCGCATGCCTAGGCGCGCCTTTAATAACACTGCTTCGCACGAGGCAATTTTTGTTTCGAATGAGGGTTCCATGATGTGCTTACATGACGATGTAGAGACCTATCATTCACAGCCTCTTGATGTTGATGTAGAGGCATAGTGGGAGGCAGTCCCCCAATCTAGTGTCGGTAAGGTATTAAAGTTACTTATATTAGAGAGCATTTTGTTGAGGGATGTGTGAACTTTGCTCTAAATTCTATAGAGTATTTTCTTTTATCTTGTTGTGAGTTGATGTTTTACCTTATTTATTGCTTTGGTTTTTGTTGAGGATTGAGTGACAATAGACCTATATTTTTGCTTTGGTTTTATCTTATCTGGTTTTGGTTTAGCTTTGGTTGGCGATTGGTATTTGCATGAGAAATTAGCTCTAAATTTGCTTCAATTTTATATTTTATCATTTTATTTTATGACTTATTCATCAAAAAAAAAAAAAAAAAGCAACTTACATTGCTTTTATGATTTTGCTTTAATTAGTTTGCTTACTAACCAATCAATATTATGTCTTTAAAACAGTGCCTAGTAGACGCCCTCATGGCTTGACACGTGGGTTGAAGGTTCAAGCAATGGTTGAGAAAGATGGAAAGCTCAAAGTTCCCATACCACATGAGTATCGTGCACCAGTGGGGGATCATGCCTCTCAATTAGTCTCGAGAATTGGTATTGAGGTCCGAACACGACTTCAAGCATCATGGAGTTTCTTAAGAAACAAGGTTTCAAAGGAGAGGGCATCCCATGAACTTGTAGATTGCTTTTTGGTAAGTCTATCTTGTTTTATCTTTTCATTTTTCTCATGTTGGTTAGTTTATATTGATTAAAGTACAACAGTTTAAGAAAGTTACACTTTCGGACTCAATTATGCTACTTTTTACCAATAACGAACCTATGTGCCAATCCCTTTTGCATTAACACCACAACCATTTATTTTAATCTTTTTATAGTTTTGTTTTTCCATTTAGAAGTTTATTAACTTATTAACATTGGTTGTGTGAAGTATTTTGTATTGAACACATATGTTTGTGTAATTGGGATCTCCACCACAATTATCTATAGGGTAAATTATGCAAATGGTCCCTCTAGTTTACAAGATGTGTCAATTTGGTCCCTATTGTTTTAATTTGCTCGATTTTACCACTTAAGTTAGTGGATTGTGTCATATTGGTCCAATAAATAATGGCCGTTAGGTTTAGTGGACGAAAAGTTGTCTCGTGCTCAAACGATACGTCAATTTGGTCTTTGTAGTTTACATGGTGTGTCAATTTGGTCCTTATTGTTTTAATTTGCTCGATTTTGACAGGGACCAAATTGACACTACAGGGACCATTTGCATAATTTACCCTTATTTATATACTATTAGAATGTAATCATATGATATTCTTTGGTAGAATATTTTATTTTTATGTTTTTTTTTTTTAAAATTTGTTTTCATTGTGGTTATTTAAGGAGTTATGAGAAATAATTATTTTGCGAACAAGTAATTTCATTTTTGAGATTGGTTTTAAAATTTATGGTTTCATTTGGAATGTGCTGGTCTGAAATGTAATATTAAAGCGAAAGACATAGTAATTTTATGTTTCTCATGCTGTAGAAAATTGAAGATCATGATTCAAACTTAGTCTTAGGAAATTAAGGGTGTGTTTGGTTTGGTTTTGGGAGATAAATTTTCAAAAAAAATCTTGGGGAAAGTTTAGAAATTTTTTTGGTTTGTTTGGTTGCATATTTTGGAAATAATTTTGGAGTATGGGAGTTTGGGATGATTTGATATTTTGTTGTAATTGAGTAGATGTGCGTGAGAGAAAAAGTGATTGAGAAGGAGAGAGGAGAGAGAAAAAATGATTGATTGATATGTAGGAAATAGAAAGTGATTTTGGAATTTTTTTTCCAAAATCACTAAACGAAATAAAATTTTTGAAAATTTCTCCAAAGTTTATTTCTCAAAAGCAAACCAAACAAGGCCTAAGTTTTTAAGTATGCCAATTTAGATAGGAACTTGAATGGATTTGAGTTTATAGAGCATATGTTATTAAATTTTTAGAACTAGCCAAGACATTATTTTGCTGCTACTGAGGTGTATAGTTGCTACTGCCAATAAATGGAGTGTATATTGGTTTTGCTATTACTATAGAGTGTGTTTAGCTGTTGTTGTTGATGAATGAAATGTATGCTAGTTCAAGGGATGACAACTTGGGGGGTGTGCATTGGTTTTGTTCCTTCCTATGTTTATTTGTAGTTGTTTTATTAAGCTTTTGGTTGGCTGCTCACCAACTGGGTATGATGCTTGCATAATAGTGGACCACATTTGATTCCAATTTCCAAGTTTCATTGAACCATTCTATATGATAATAAAAGTCATCATGTTGCTTGTATGTTTTTAATTTTGGCAGGTTCATATGTGTTCATTTCACATGATTTACTTGCCACCAGCTAGATCAGTTGTTTTTTGTGATTTAGGACAGATGAAAGTCCAATATCAGAAAAATGTATTTTTGCTAAATTGGTTTATAAAATAAAATTATTTATATATTGTTTTAGATGTAATTGATAATATATTAATGTTTTTCCTTTTTTTTTTTAATTTTATTTTTTTTATATTCTTTGGAGATTGGTTTTTGATGACATTTGGAAGCATATTTGCAAATTAAGATCAAGTGTTGATATTTTTTGTGGACTGATACTTAGTTCTACTTGTAAATCAAGATCAAGTGTTGATATTTTTTTTGTCGACTGATACTTAGTTCATTTTGAGATTTACTGTGATGGTGGTTTTGTTATACTTAATAAATTATTATTAAATTTGTTTGATTGATATATTTTAGTTTATAATATAAATTGATTATTGAATTATTTTGGGAAGTGGCGTATAATAGCTAGTGGATTTGTTAGTATATTTGAAGGCTATTGAGATATAAGTAGAGATATTTGTGAAATAATAATTTAAATTGAATTATAAAATATAGAACAATAAGTTTTGTGACAAGGTGATTAATTGCCACTAACAAATATTTTTTGTGACAGAATTTATCGTTGCTTATATATGAAAAGTTTTTTTGATTTTGTTATTTGGTGACTAAAAACTTCGGCACGTATACATCTTTTTGCCACGAAATATATTTCGTCATCTATGTCTAACTTTTGGAGATGAAAAATTTCGTCAACTATACATCTTATTGTGACGAAATTATTTCCTCACCAATGATCAACATGTGTAACAAATTTATTCATCAACTAAAGTTTTATATACGGTATTGAGTAATTATTTGGTGATGAAAATAAGGATTTTTTGCGAAAAAAATATTGTCTTATTAGTAACAAAAATTTTCGACGCTAAAGTAATTTTATTGGTGACAAAATTATTTTTCGTCACAGTCATTTTTAGTGACAAACATTCAATGATGAAACCGGTAAAGAAAATATTTCCTCACAAATATATATAGTGACGAAATTAGCTCTTTGGAGACAAAAAAAAAATATCGTCATTCAAGACCCAATTTGTTGTAGTTAAATATGTTATGTTCTGTTCTGACAGAACATTCACACAACAAAATAGATGGTTGTGTTGTGTCATAAACTGGATTTTGAATGGTGGTTGTGTGGATTGCCATGAAAATCCATGAGAGAATATAAATCATGAAATTTTCATTTTTAAAAGTTAAAATTCATCTCCACCAAACAGCAAATATATGGTAACACGATAATGAATTAACAAAGTATAACAAAGCAACCAAAATACCTACCTTTCCGACTCAATTCAAGCACAGATGGCACTTGATGTCCCTCCTAAGGTTGGTTTTTTTTTTTTTTTTTTTTTTTTTTTGGTACATCGGAAATGCAAAGTAGCTTCTTTTTGTTTGCATCATCTATCAACCTTGCCTTCATTCATTGTTCTTCATCTTTTTTTTCCTAAGCTGAGGTAGCAATTTGTGAAGCATCTATTGTGCCGAGTCACTCCTTTTTCCTTGTTGTGTGTGTGTGTATGAAGCTTTTTTATTTGGAAAAAAAAAACCATTCTTTATATTTTTCCTCAATAATCCAAGTCTCACAATGAAAAACATAGTTTGATCCCTCAACTAATTTGAAACCCCTGCATCACAACTTCAAAATTCTGATTAGATTTAGCCACCTCTATTATTATTTCTTTATTCCAAAGTGGTGCTTAGGAACACTCTCCTGCAAGCTGTGATGGCAACAATGTTGTTTCAGGACAACACGGTGGTAGAAGGCCTTTTAGAGCTAATTTCTGTTGGTGTGCCTCGTGGTTGGTAGAATTATTAAAAGCTTTCTAAGAGGTGTAAGAAATGGCTAGTTAAACAAGGAAAACCAAGTTCTGTAAACCATAATTAGAGGTTGCTCATGTTTGCATCACACCTAGGATAAGATTACATTAGACAATTCCAAAAGCACTTTAAGAATTCTATAAACTAAATGAAATTTGAGAGAGTATACAGCCATATGGCTCATATATACGTGCTTTAAGACAACTCTTTCTGTTGGAGATAAAAATGAATAACACTGAAACAGAGGCAAAAACAAAGAAAACAGAGGCAAAGAAATATAGAAAATCTGAACTTTTGGGTTGTCTTATTCAATTTTTTAAAATACTGAAGCAAATGTGCCTATATATAGGCTTACAACCAAAACAACCAAACAGAATTTTATGGACCACTAAATCACTAACGTAAACCTATTACAACCACTAGCATAATATTAGTAACAATATCAACTCTCCAATTGACTAAACAAACTCAGTAAATTACGGACACTACTAATAAACCCAGTTAGACTTTGAATCATTCTTCAACACTCCCTCTTGATTCAAAGTTGCAAACGCCAAGGAAAGCTCTGAAGTAGAAAATTTTTTCTTTCGACAAAGACTTCGTTAGTATATCAGCCTGCTGCTCATGAGTGCCACAGTACTTTAAAGTAATATTCTTCTTCGCAACCAAATCATGAATGAAATGGAAACACATAGCTATATCTTTTGTTCTACTATGAAATGCTGAATTTTTTGTCATAAAGATGGTTGCCTCGTTGTCACAACAGATCTCTGTTGCTCCCTCTTGCCTTTGTTGAAGTTCAGCCAACATTCTCCTTAACCATATGGCTTGACAAGCTACTAAAGTGGCTGCAACATATTGAGCTTCTGAGGATGACAATGCTATTGTGGCTTGCTTCTTTGAGCTCCATGTGATTACTCCTGATCCAAGAGTAAAAACATTTGCTGAAATACTCTGCCTATCATCCAATGAACCTGCCCAATCGCAGTCCGTGAACCCACATAATTTGAAATTGAAAACTTTTGAGTACCAAATCCCTTAATCCATAGTTCCAGCGATGTAACGCAAGACCCGCTTTGTTGCTCCAAAATGAAGCTTTGAAGGATGTTGCATAAACTTGGGAATCATACCAACAGAAAATGCAATATTGGGTCGAGTGTATGTTAGATAAATTAAACCACCAACCAGGCTTTTGAATCTGCTAGCATCATCCATTTCTGCCCTATCTTCACACTACAATTTGTCATTGATATTCATGGGTGTAGTTGCTGGTTTACAATTAAGCATGCCAAATTTATTAAGAAGATCCTTGGCATATTTTCTTTTTGAAATAAAAATCCCATCTTCTGCTTGTTAGACCTCAAGGCCAAGAAAATAATGCAGCAAACCCATATCAGACATTTCAAACTCATGCATCATACGTGATTTAAATGATATCATCCACATAATGACAAATAATGATGAAATCATTTTTACCTTCCTTCTTCACGTAGAGAGTGGGTTCATTCTCACTTCTCAAGAATCCATTTTGCTGAAAGTATCCATCAATTTTGTTGTACCATGCCCGAGGAGCCTGCTTCAATCCGTACAACGCCTTTCTCAACTTGTACACCTTTGTCTCTTTGCCTTCAATCATGAAACCTTTTGGTTGAGTTACATAAACTTCCTCTTGTAGATCTTCATTTAAAAATGTTGACTTCACATCAAATTGATAAACAGGTCATTGTAATTGTGCAGCCAATGCTAACACACTCCTTACAGTTTCAAAACGAGCTACTGGAGAAAAGGTTTCTTCGAAGTCAATACCATGTTGATGTGCATATCCCTTCGCCACAAACCGAGCTTTGTGCTTTTGTATACTTCCATCTGCACCAAATTTTGTCTTAAATACCCACTTCAAGCCAATTGCATTTTTGCCTTCCGGCAAGTCCATCATCAACCATGTTCCGTTCTTTTCAATTGCTGTCAATTCTTCAATCATCGCTCTTTGCCATTCTTCTTTTGCAGCTGTTTCTCCATAAGTTGTAGGATCTGAGACAGTAAAAGCAAATTGGCAAGACTCATAAATGTCTCCCAAGGATCTAAACTCTCTGGGCGGTGTTTCATCCGAAGACTTTTCAAGAGTGGATGAAGAGTCTCTCCTTGGTGAACTGGGTGACGCCATAGAGGAACCAGATGAATTTGTCGGAGTTGGCTCTTGACTTTCATTTGGAGAGATTCCAATGGACATAGGAACCTGTTGGTGCATCTTCTCATCACTTCTACGCCAATCCCAGCTTGCATTTTCATCAAATACTACATCCCTTCTAATTAAAAACTTACCACTAAGAGGGTTATATAATCTATATGCTTTGGATTATGCACAGTAACCAATGAAAATACATTTTTCAAATTTTTCATCAAGTTTATGACAAAATTGAGAATTTACCAAAGCATAAGCAATACACCCAAAAACTCTTAAGTGACTTACAGATGGTTTTGTGAGTAGACACCCCATTTTTGACCGTCCTCAAGACTTGGACGTTACCATTTGAACACTCGGTGATCATCCATGTTCGTGTTCGTCTTGAGTTCTCAGAGGTCTCGGCCATGCGCCTTGCCTCAAGACCTCTCGACTTGCCTGTTTTGTGTTTGGTTTTGCATCAAACACTTGTGTTTTGCTTTTGAGGAGCAAGGAATGGCTTGTTGGCCATCCCCACATCTCACAGGCCATGGCTTGAGGCCACCAGCCATTGTTTTGTTGCCATTGGCCAAATGTTTGGTCGGTCGGCACTCCTTTTGGTCGGTCGACCATTTATTTGGTCAATTTAGCATTTTTGGCTGGCCAACCACTGTGCATCTGCTTTTGGCAGATATTTTGTGCCAGCTGTGCTAGCTGGCACCAACTTTGCACCCTCTCTATACTCGTGTATGGAGGGATTTCACTCTTGCTTAGCTTGTTTTGTAAGCTTTGCAAGAGTGATCCTCTATAAAGAGAGGCCTTCTCCTCTCTCCTCAAGGGTTAGAGGTTTGAGCTCCAGAGGTCCGGATTAGGGTTAGAAATAGTGTATCTATCTATCTCTATATCTCCCTTTCTTTTTGCCATTGTGTGTGTTTAAGTGTGTTTTGTTCTTACTTTTGTGCATAAACACCTAGTATCACACCTTACCTTGGTTGCTGAAGTGCCAAAGGGTTGTTGTTAAGGTTTTTGAGTGGATTTAAGCTTGGAAAGGCTGTTGGAGCTCCATTCTTGAAGAGGTCTACAAGGTTAAGAATCTTACCCCTTTATTTCCCATTCTTGCACTAGCTTTTAACCTATCTTGCATCTGTTTTTGAGCTTAGTGTATAACATATAAAAGTTCTAATTTTGTTAGTTTTAGAACTTTGTTTAAGGTTGCTTTGGTGTTTGGGGTTGTTTGACTCCTCTTAGGCCTTGTTTGGCCCCCATTTTGTGCTATTTTGGTGAGCTCCAGGACCATCTTGTTTGGGCCTCCTCACCACTGAAATCCAGAGGGATTTCAGTGGTGGGGATGGTGCTTTCAGGTCCTAAGAAGGAGAGGGTATAAAGTTGTCATTTTAGCCTCATGTGTGAGCACCATTGTTGAGTTCATGTTGGCCATGTCTTAGCTAGTATTTGTGCTTATTTTGCCATGATATAGCACTGTTTTAAGTTGGTTTAGACACACCATGCATGCTTAGCATACTTGTCTTGTAATGCCATGAAATTGCCTTAACATGTTTTGTGCTTTGAGCTTTGTTTTTAGCATGATTTTGGCTTAGCTTTGTGAAGCTTTTGTGCATGTTTTGATGTGCTTGAGGTCAGCTTTTGGTCATTTGGGTCATCCATGACTTGCTTTGTATAGCTACCTGCAATCTCCCCTGTAGGCCTTGAGTATTGGATCCTCTAGCATGCTCTACTTGTATCATTTCAGTGGTTTGGCACCATTAGTCATGCAATTTCAGTCCATATAGCATGCTTGTATACTTGCATTTATGGCTCCTTTGATGTTTCAAAAGGTTTGTGTTTTGTGCTCCATGTTTGGACCTTTTTGCATGCCTTTAGATTTAGGCCATTTAGATGCCATCTAGGTGTGCCTTTGACCTTGTTTTGGTCTGTCTTGGGGTGGTTTTGAGTCCCCATGGCCCTTTGGGACTTGCTTCATATAGCCATGGTTTAAGCCCCTTGGCTTGCCTTGAGTTTTGGACATAGTTGCATGCCTTGTTCGTCTTGTTTAGTTGGTTTGGCACCATCCTTAACATGATTTTCAGAGCTTAGTATGCTTGCCATATGACCATGTTTGTCCCTTTTAAGTGTGCTTAAAAGTTGCTTCTTTATGCTTAAGTCTTGAACCATGTATCTATGTATGCTTGTATGTACATTTGCCTTCATGTGCTTAGCATATTAGCCACTGTTTTGGGCTTAAAAGTTGTTCTTTGATGCATAAGTATTGGATCTTGCGTGCATGAATGTTTGGGTGTACATTCGCCTTGCATGTTGTCACACACTTGACCCCTTTGTATGTTGTTGCATGCATAGGTGGTAGTGCATTTGGCATGCATTCCTTTTGCTTTGGTTGCTTAACATGTCACATGTCTTGCATGTTTGTTTGTTGGCATTACATTTTGCATGCTTGTTAGCTTGAATAATTGTTACATGTTTGCATACTTGCCTCCATGTTCATGTTACACACTAGCCTATATGCTTAGGTTGCATTTGGCATGCATGCCTTGCCTCTTGAATCGATTATGATAGAGGTTGGGTCCATTTGTTTGTTTGGTTTGCATTACTTTTGACATCAAAATGCATACTTGGCCTCTTTCGCCATCACGCATTGAAATGCGCGATTGGTGGCCGGAGGGTCGAGGATCATCCTTCTTTGAGTCATGAACATGATAAGGAGGGTGTTGGTGCACACATTTGCTTGAAATGCATTGCCATGCCATGTTTGCCCTCTGCTGCTGTCAAACAGGATTCTGCAGGCATACATGGTCGGCCGACCATCTATATTGCCGACCGACCAAACATTTGAGGCCGAGAGCCATATCAATGGTTGATGACCCTTCTACCATGGTCGGTGATGTCACCTCTTGGTCTGTGATGCTCCACAGTGTTTAGAGAGTGTTCCTTGGGACTTATGCAATTTTCAGAAGAGCAGAGCAGGGTAAACAGAGGCAGCTTGTGCATGGTGACGGATTTCCGAGCAAACCCAAGCACGCATGCATTGGACCCCCTTCCTGAGGCTGTTTTATTGCTTTCTTAGCTTAGTTAATTTGCTTAACTAGTTAAGTGGTCTGTAATAATTAATTAGCTTGTAGGTTCATTAATTTGTATTATTCTTTTGGCCCCTCCGAGCGAGGGCGAATGTGTAATAAGTGTGGGTGTGGGTGTGTGGGTGTGTGTGTGCATGTCTTCCAACCCCCATTTCTTTCTCCCTTTTACTTACCTGCTTTTGATGGTTAGTACTAGGGCATATTTAATTTAGCATACATTATGCTATGCATGTGTGCATTCATTCATCAGTATTACATGCACCAGGCTCGGCGCATCATGTTAACTGCATAGTATTTCAAATCTAACTTGAATATATGTTACTTGTTGCATTTCACATGCCATTCTAGGATTAGCCGAGCCTATTCTAGATTGCATTTTGCCTGTAATGCATTAGCCATTTAACATAGACTTGGATTATACGTTTGATTGCTAACATGTTCTTTGTTTTGGCTCGGAGTACACTGTAAGTATTTATGCTTTAGCATCTCGCATAAGTGTGAATGTTAACATGATAGCATGCTTACCATGTGGCTATGTCCTTATGTGATATTACTGCCTGAACGCCTGTGGGTGAAGGTTGGATTGCTTGAGTTGGAACAACTCGTTAAAATCCGTATTTTAGCCTACTTGCGAGTAGCAAATTTCGAACCATTTTTCCAAACAAACGGATATGCAATGCTTTGTTCCAAATTAGGCGATCTAGTCTATACTTTAGTGTTGTGCGCATCACATAGTAAGATTAGCTAATTAATCGGAATAAGAATGCATAATGTTTTCAAAACTAGATATCATGGTTAGTAGAGGCCGATCTTTGATCGGGCGAGCGGGAGTGCTCATAGCTGACCTTCCCCAATCGTACCCAAGTTCCCGAGCCGAGGTAACTTTGGTGATGACAGACATGTGGCCTTAGGCAACGAGTCAGGGTTTCCTAAATTTCCCAAAAATAAAACATTTAGGTGGTGACTCTGTATCTGGCAAAGTAGTCCATGTTTGGCAGTTCTTTCTAAAAATTTATTTTTCAAAACGATTTGCCGAATTTGGACTCTTTGGTGATTTATCAATCTCATATTGCACATTGTGAGATCAGATTAAGAACCGTGACAATCTGAGTTTGAACTGTAGCATGAGGCCCACGGGCGCGTCTACATTGTGCCACGCCAAGCTTCAACCGGAGTTTGATTCATGACTGCCCTTGTGGGAGAGAGATTCAATAAATAAACTGATGTTGCCACAGCTTCAGCCTAAAATTCGTTTGAAAGTCCCTTTGCTTGTAACATGCTTCTTGCCATCTCCATAACAGTTCGATTCTTCCGTTCGGCGACGCCATTTTGCTCTATAGTGAAAGGAGTTGTCAACTCCCTTTGAATGCCATTTTCTTCACAAAAAAAGTCAAAATCTTTGGATAAGAATTCTTCACCTCTATTAGTGCGAAGAACTTTGATGCAAAATCCACTTTGCTTTTCAACTTTAGCTTTGAAGTGTCTAAATTTCTCAAAGGCTTCGGATTTGTTTTCCAAAAAATAAACTCAACTCATGCGACTATAATCATCAGTAAATAGCTAGAATTAACGACTTCCACCAAAAGATTTAGTTTGCATAGGTCCACATAAATCAGCATGAATTAATTCAAGACACGTTGAAGCTCTCCAAGCCTTTCCAACTGGAAATGACTTTCTAGTTTGTTTCCCATAGATGCGCCCTTCACATAATTCAATAGAACCAATTTTTGGTAGTCCAAAAACCATGCCTTTTTCATTTAGCAATTTCAGACCCTTGATGTTGAGATGCCCGCATCGAAATTGCCATAGCTTTAAGTCATCTTTTCCATTAGTAGTAAAGAAAATTTTTTCCATGCATGAAACTTCCAATGGGAACATTTTGTTTTGAGTCATGTTGATATTACTCAACGCATGGCCTGAGTGCTTGTCTTTAATAACACATGCCTCATTGTCAAATAAGATGGATTATCCAGTAGCCATTAATTGCCCAACACTTAGCAAATTATATCCCAAATCAGGTACAAATTGAACATTATGCAAGAGCTTTATGTTACCATGGGTAGTTTTAATGCCCACTGTACCTTTCCCTTTAACTTGCATTTATTTGGCATTTCCAAGCTGCACCTTCAACTTTTGTGTCTCATCAAGCTATTTGAACAAGTATTTCATCCCTATCATATGATTCGAACAGCCGCTGTCTACGAACCACACATCGCTTGACTTATTGTTAGGATCAAAATGAGTCATAAAAAGCTTACTACTTTCTTCTCCATTTTCTGCTGCATAATTCACTTGCTGATCTTTGTACCAACAATCAGCTTTTACATGA